CCCTGAGCTTGGGCAGAATCAGTTGGGTGTGTGCTATGCGTGGAGATTTGCCCTTCCAGATAAAAGTGCGAACCTCTGTCTTGAGTCTCGAGAAGAACGTTTGTGGGGCTTTTATCAGTACTGTTTGAACTATGAAGAGTAGCTTTGGCAGCAGCGTCATTTTTACCACGTTCACTCTGCCCAGCCAGGATATGTAATAGGAACCCCATCTATGCAATTCCGCTGTAGTTTTTTTTAGTATTGGGAGGTAGTTGTGGGTATATTAATCCACCGGGTTAGGTGTGAGCCAAATCCCCAGATATTTCATGCGGTGGTCACACCAGCGATATGGTTGTTGGCTCTGAATCATTTGCTTGAGTGTGTTGCTAATATTTAGGTTCAGTATCTCCGATTTTGTGTAGTTGATTCGGAGGTTCGAGATGCGGCCATATATGTCGAATTCTGTCTGTATCGCTTGCAGCGAGTTTTCTGGGTCCGTGACTACGAATAGCATGTCATCCGCATATGCCAGAGTTTTGTGGTGTGTGTTTCCGACTGTCATTCCCCAGACATCCGCGTTTTGTCTGATCCTGCTTAGGAAGGGCTCCAGCGTCAGCGCAAAAAGTAAGGGCGAAAGCGGGCAACCCTGTCTGGTTCCGTTGTGGATCTTAAACGGGTCTGTTAGCGCACCATTGATCCGGATTCGCGCCGTTGGGTTGGTGTAGAGCGTCTGTACCCAGGCCATGTAGTGTTGACTGATGCCGAGGGAGCGGAGTGTTTCAAAACATCAGGTCCCAGTCCACTCTATCAAACGCTTTCTCTGCGTCAGTGGACAGGAGTAGGACTGGGGCTTTCTGCTCTCTCGCGTGTGCTATGAGGTTTAGGGCTCTGAGGGTGTTGTCCCTCACCTCCCTGCCCGGGATGAAACCCGTTTGATCTGGGTGGATTGTGGCTGGTAGTAATGGTGCCAGGCGTGCCGCCAGTACGCTCGCCAGCAGTTTGAGGTCCGTGTTCAGTACAGAGATCGGTCGATAGCTTGGGCATAGTGTCCTCCTTTGGGAGAAGGGTGATGTTCGCCGAGGTGAATTGGGCCGTTGGTGTGGCTCCGTCCTGGATAGAGTTCAGAGCTTTCAATAGTTTTGGTGATAGGTCATTCGCGAAGGTTTTGTAATATTGAAGGGGCATGCCATCTGGTCCCGATGCTTTGCCCGTTTTTGCTTTTTGATGGCGTGCGCCAATACCTCAGGAGTTATGGGGGCTTCTAGTGCTTCTTGGTCTACCTCCTCTATTCCCGGTACATTTGCCGTGTCCAGGTATCTGCGGATGTCCTCCAATTTTCGGGATCTCTGTGTTTCTGGAGTGGCTTGGCGGAGGCTATATAAGTCCTGGTAGTAGTCATGGAACGCTGTCGAGATCTGATCCGGTAGGTGCCTGAGTTGTTGGTGTGCGTCTTTGATTTTCGGGATATATAGTTGGTTTCGGCATTGCTTCACGAGATTCACTAATAGTCTCCCGCATTTGTCCCTGTGTTCATGGATCATATGTTTGTAGTGTTGGTATGAGCGTTGGATTGCGCGGTTCAGGTGTGTGGTGAGTTGGTTCCGTTTGGTCATGAGTTCTTCGTATACCTTTGTGTCCAAGGTGCGTTTGTGTCTAGCCTCTAATGCCTCGATTTCTTTGCTGAGTTCTAGTATCGTCTGTACCGCCCGCTTCCTGCGAGTCGCGCATATCGCGATGAGTCTGCCTCGAATGACCGTTTTGTGTGCTTCCCAGCATGTCAGTGGGATGACATCGTCTGTCTCGTTGTCTTTGAAGTAATCCTGTATGTGGTGATTGATTTGGTCTAAAACCGTGACGTCTGATAGAATCTAATCGTTCAGTCGGCATGACATTTGTCTGGGTTTGTATAGTGTTGACATCATCCGTATGCGAATTGGGTGGTGATCTGACCATGTCATTGGTAGGATTTCCACGGTGTTGAGCAGGGCTAGATTATGATGAGGTACTAAGAAATAATCGAGTCTTGTATAGGTCGAGTGAGTCATGGAGTAGAATGTGTAGTCCCGGGTAGACGGGTTTAGTGCTCGCCAGCAGTCCGCCAGCTGGTGGAGGTGTAAGAGGCAGAGTGTGTTGGCGTGCCTATTGAGCGGTGTATTTTCGCGTGTAGATGTGGAATCCTGTTCTGGGTGTATCGCCAGGTTGAGATCTCCGCCTATGATCAAGGTGCCTTCCGCGAATTTCATCAATGTGTTCAGTGTACTTCGAAGGAAGTGGTGTTGTTTCGTGATTGGGTGTACACGTTAGCGAATGTGTACGTTTGGTCCAATATCGTGCCTTTTGTGAAAATGTATCTGCCGTGCTTGCATCGTTTGGTGGCTTGCTCCGTGAATGGGACTCGCTTTGAAAAGAGGATGCAGACTCCCACTGACCGTCTGTCCTGGTTGTGGCTGAAGTATCCCGTTTGAAAGTTGCGGTCTTTCAGGGCTGGTGCCCTGCCTTCCTGGAAGTGCGTTTCCTGGAGAAACGCTATTGAAG